ATCGACATTTGTTGCAAATTCGAAATTGAATATCTCGACACCTAAATATCCTAGCAGCAAATTTCAAAAACGGTTTAAAAGCTTTGAAACCGTACTTTTCGAATGATCTATCGAAATTGTGCGCAACGATATTTTTTCAAAATGGCGGGTGATAAAAAGGAGAACATGAAAAGTTGCTAAAAAAAGGTTCGAGCGTGCGACGGCGCATGGAGCAAAGTAAGTGTCGCAGCTCAATGGGACGAAAAGTACCTAAAAGTATAGAATGTTTTCTTTAAAATACTTCGTTATAGAGCTTGATGCGATACTTATTCACTGAATTATGCAAATTTAACAAGAAAACCGCATTTTTAGCAAAATTTGGAACAACTCAGTGAAAAATGATCACATCGAGCTCGGTAAAGTAGGATTTTAAAGATAACACTCTATATTTTCATGTGCATTCGGTCCCATTACGCTGCGATACCTGATGCACACCATGCACCATCGCAAACATGGACCTTTGATTATCAATTTTGCATCCTCTCACTTTATCATCCGTCATTTTGAAAAAAATGGCCGAGCATAATTGCCATTCAGATATTCTTAAAGAGGACGTTTCAAGCTTCATTTTGCATTTCTGCGCATATTTGTATCTTCATTATTTACCAAGTTATGATCATTTGAAGTTTTGTAATTTTTTCCCAAATTTTTAGTGTACCGGGTTTTTTGCGTTTGAGTGTATTTCTGCAATATATTCTTTTATGTGGTATTTATTTTTGTTTTAATAACTTGTGTCTTCCGAAATGTCCTCTCGACAAGATAGATGCAGCAATCCTTTTCGTTGTCCTGGTGAAAAGGGCCACCTTGGTAAGGATTTGCGAAATGTACCTTCAAAACTACGAAACAAATTTCCTGAAAACGCTAAAATATGCACTGATTGTCGCAAGAAATTCTTTAGAAGAAGAAACAGCAAAACAAATTCTAGCGCTCATGAAAATTATTGTAGCAGCGATTCTAATGATGAATCGTCGATCGTTGTGAGTCATGATATCAGCCTAGAGAAACAGAACTAGAGGAACTATTGAATGGAATAAAACAAGTATTCAATTCTTTTTCTAAGTATGATTCTGATCATATAAAATTCTTAACGTTGGTTCCCTTTTCATGGAGTACACGGAAAATAGCTAAGGAGTTTGATTGTTCTAGATATACTGCAGAAGTTGCTAAGAATGTGCGTGCAAATGAAGGTATTTGGTCATCTTCTCCAGCAAAAACTGATAAACAGTTGTCCCTCAATACTATACAAAAAGTTCAAGACTTTTACGAATCAAATGAAAATAGTCGATTAATGACTGGAATAAAGGATACTGTTACCACTTAGATTGATAAAGAAAAAATTAAAATGCAGAAAAGGTTACTCCTTTTAGATCTAAAAGAATTACATCATTTTAAAACGAATTATCCTGACTATCCGATTAGTTTTTCAAAATTTTGCGAATTACGGCCACATCATTGTATACTTGCAGGTACAAGTGGTACACATTGTACATGTGTTTGTATCATTCATCACAATTGCAAGTTAATACTTGATGCTATCAACATTTCTAAAACATCAAAGGAAATGGATAATCCATTAAATGATTATAAAGATTGTTTGAAAGCTTTGATATGTGATAACCCTACTGTCTTATGTCATTTAAACGAATGTTCTAAGTGTCCAGATGATGACAAGCTTATAGAGACTATTCAATGCGCTCTGGAAAAAATAAACGTAATTGAAATTGTCTTTAGTATTTGGCAAACTACTGATAGAACGACTTTAATTACACAAACTTCCTAATCAAGAATTTTTAAAACAGCTTTCTTGTAAGTTACAACAATTAAAACCACATAATTTTATATGCAAAAAGCAGTCAGAATATTTCATGAACCAAAAAGAGAAACTCTGTGAAGGCGAAGTGCTTGTACAACTTGATTTCGCAGAAAATTATGCATTTGTTGTGCAAGATGCAGCTCAAGCATTCCATTTTAGTAATAATCAGTGCACTGTCATTACAGTCGTATATTATTATTACTGTAATGAAAAATTGCTACATGGTAGCATGGTATAATAATATTGTCTAATTGTTTATCACACGATATAGTTGCTGTACACATCTCCCAAAAGCTGATCATAAATGAATTAAGAAATAAATATGCAGTTAAAAAAATTATCTATTTTACTGACGGTGCCAAGTAGCATTTTAAAAATCGCTTCCAAATGTGTAATTTGTTACATCACAACGAGGATTTAGGAGTGCCAACGGAATGGCATTTCCATGCTACTGCACATGGAAAAGGAGGTTGTGATGGAGTAGGTGCATCTTTTAAACGAGAAGCAGTACGAGCTAGTCTCCAAGCTCCAGCAACATCTCCTATTTTAACTCCTGAGACCTTGTTTGCTTGGGCAGAAAACAAATTTTCAAATATTAAGATTTTATATTTTAGTGACAAAGAACATAAAATAGTAATAACAGCTCTTCGAAATAGAATTCAAAACGCAAAACTTATTCGTAACATATAAAAACAACACGCATTCATACCAGTAGCAGATAAAAACTTACTTATTAAGAGATTTTCTTCTAGTCCTGAAGGTATAACTTTTTCTTTATGAGATAAACATTAGTTCTCGCGTTATAAAAAAAAGCAATTTTGTTTCATGTTTAATTCATGATTCCGATGATAGAACAATAAAGGGGCATTAAATTTCTGTTTTACATTAAAAATAATAAAAATGTATATAATAATTTAAAAATAAAACCAACACAAAAAATACAAAAAAAATAAAAAAACAATATATAAAAAAACAAAAAATAAAAATGAAAAAGGAAAAAGTAATGTGGGCTTTGGAACATAATATTTAGACAGTCTTTACCTATAAACGCAGAAAGTTTTTTCATAACAAATCATTGAAAAATGATCGTGACAAATAATACAGCAGCTATACGAAATACGATAACTTGTTAATGTTATAGAAATGTATTAACAAGAGAAGAAAGCATTATTAAAAATAATAACATTATTTTCATCTTTCAGAAGTGGATACCAATAAAAACTAAATATTGGGTCTGGGAAAATGTTCGTGGCGTTTTTCCCGATAGATGGCGTCAATTGCAAATAACTCAGGAAACACAGATCGCAGCGACACTACTAAACGCTTGTTAGAAAGGTGACACTTCGAGCATTATTTTGAGTGTATATACATCGAAATTGGTGCAGTGGTTGGAAAGTTGTTTGCGTTTGAAAATGGAGAAAAGTAATGAAAAATTGCGTTATATTTTGCAATATTATTACGACAAAGGGAAGAACGCTGCGCAGACTTGTGAAAAAATTTGGAAAGGTGTTGTCTTCCATCATGACAACGCCCGACCATACACTTCTTTTATGACCCGTCAAAAATTGCGAGAGCTTGGTTGGGAAGTTTTGATGCATCCACCGTATAGTCCAGACATAGCACCCTCTGACTATCACTTGTTCCGATCTCTGCAGAATTCTCTCAATGGAATTAAGCTGGTTTCAAAAGAAGCCTGTGAAAACCACTTGATTCAGTTTTTCAACCAGAACCACAGAAGTTCTTCACCGATGGCATCATGGCTCTACCCGAAAAATGACGAAATACTGCCGATAATAATGGAGCATATTTGGTTTAAATAAATTCATTTTCACACTATAAGAAAACCAGTTGAATTTTACTAGAAAAACGCCACAAACTTTTTCCCAGACCCAATATTTCTTTGCAAAAACATAATTTTGGTTTTTTTATTTCATATTCGGATTCAGAGGCAAAATTATATTTAAAACGACTTTTGTACATTATGTGCAAGAAATAGCAAAGATTTGAGTAAGGAAATAATAAGGAAAACTCACCATTTTTTATTTGATCGACGAAATCAAGGTCATTATTTGACATTTTTAAAAATCACCACATGGCATCGAAAACTAGAAGCTTTAAGCTAAATTTTAGTGGATCAAAAATTAGATTTAGTTCAATACAATTTTGGGTTAAGAGGGTGACCGTTCTGACGTGGAATGACCCATATATATACATATACAATGTATTTTAAAAGAATATAAAATTTGGGGGTTAACTCTGTCCCTATAATGAAACATTGATGTAGCAAGTTAAATGGTCTGCAACCATATAAAAGGGTGGAAAACAAACATTCAAATTGGATCATATGATAGATTTATTCATTTTTTGTAATAATTATGTAGTCATAAATTACTACATGTATTCTTCAAATGCAGATTTGTATATAATATTTAATATCTTTTCTCTAAGTTCTCACTAATTATACAGACTTGCACTTGTCTATATATAATATCGTCGTGATGTAGTTCTGATTTATTAATTTAGCCTATCTTTCAAATGTTTCTTATTAATATATGCTGTCAGCTATACCTTATTGTTAACTTTTATCGCAATTGAAATCTTAAAATCTTTGAGAATTTCTATTCCTGAACTGAGACTGTTCAACGATTTGAGCTTTTCTAGGCATAATATCGTTTTCTAGTTCTAATTTATTATTTTAGTTGGCCTCTGAATAGCTTCTCAAGAAGTGTTGTCTCCTATACCTTGTCATAAATTTTATTGAAGTAGAAATATCTCAATCTTGAACAATTTTTTCTTCAATTGTCGTTGGCTGTATGTACTCGTGCTTTTGTGTGCATAATGTTATTGCGGTAAAGCTCTAATTTATATGTTAGTTTGTCCCTTGGTTGTTTCCTAAGGTATGATGTCTCTTGTACCTTGTCGTAAATTTCATTGCAACTAAAATATATATCAATTTTCATCTCAAGACTGACAAGGGGAGGACGCATCGACCGGGAAACGATTTGGAACGAAACTTACGGAGTTAATAGTACTTGACTACTAATATGAGAATTGTCCCAAAAGTAATGCACAGTTGGCTCTAACTAAAAAAATATTTATTGAAGAAGATACAAGTGATTACAGGCCTTCAATATAATCTCCTCCTTTATCAATGCACGCTTGCCAGCGGCGCGGAAGTGCTTGAATTCAGCGTCCCGTTCTTATTGAGCATCCGAATCTGTCGGGTCACTTCTCTTCGGAGCACTTCCAGCGTCGGAAAACGCACCCCCCGAAGGGGTTCTTTCATCTTGGGAAAGAGATCGAAGTCAGGTGGGCTCAGATCAGGACTATAAGCTGGGTGGCGGAGCCGTTCCCAGCCGTATTTTTCGAGAAGTTCGATGATCGGTGCACCGATGTACGGGCGTGCATTATCGTGCAAAATCAACACACCACTTTGCAACATTCCTGGACGCAGTTTACGGATTTTTGGGCGCAAGACATTCTGAAGAAAATTTTTGTAGTATGCTCCAGTGACACTAGTATCCCTCGGAACTTGATCTGTGGTGATTACGCCCTGTTTATCGTAGGCAAAGATCATAATTTCTTTCATTTTCGACTGTTGGCGACGAACTTTTTGTGCTCTCGGCGAACCTGGACTCTTCCAAACGTCGCTCTGAGACTTCAGTTCGGGCTCGAAGTCACGTATCCAGGTTTCATCAATTGCGATGATGCGATCGAGGAAGGTTTCACCTTCATTTTCATAACAAGCAAGCAATTCGTGCGCAATTTCCGAACGTGTTGCTTTTTGTTTAGCTGACAAGAAGTGCGGTACCCACCGCGCCGCCTTTCGTTTGCCTAGCACCTATGTTAAAATGCGATGCGCGCTCGTTTTCGAGATTCCTGTCTCCGCCTCGATTTCTCTTACTGTGATTCTCCGGTCTTCATCGAGCAACGTTGCAATAATTGAAGCGTTTGTGTTGTCAGCTGTTACAGTAGACGGCTGCCCCGCGCGCGGATCGTCTTCGATGCTTGTTCGACCTTCACGAAACTTCGTGTGCCACCTCTGTACTGTGCTACGATTCACAGTAAACCTTCTATACGCTTCTTTTAACGCGGCATGGATTTCGGGCACTTTTTTACCGCGTACTGTTTCGCTGCGAATATACGCACGTTGCTCTGTTGCTGAAATCCAACCCGACGGACTGTTCTCGTTGTTTTTCCGAATTTTTGGCATTTTCCCTTTAAACGAATCCCACTACCATATGATACTAACGTGGTCTTAAGACTTCAATCTACACACTGACGCTTCGATCAGCTGTCTACGTTGCCTACAATGCCCGCTAGAGCGTGCTGTGCATTACTTTTGGGACAACCCTCGTATATGCTCTTGACTACTAATATATGTTTGAATATTAATATACAGGGTGCACGATTTATCTGAAGACATTGAAATATCTCGAGAACTATGCATTGGATAAAAAAAAGTGGTTAATGAAAGTTGTTAATCTCGAAGGGGGACATCCAATGATACCAAACTCGACCTCCCACCCCACCCCCTGGGGGTGGGGGTTGGGGGCAACTTTGAAATCTTAAATGGAAATCCCCATTTTTTATTGTAGATACGGATTCTACGCCACAAAATACGTAAATTTTGTCCGAAACTTTTTTTTTGATTCGTGATAGATGGCGCTGTAATCGCAAAAAATTATATTTTCCGCAATTCTCCAGAAATGATCATTGGATTGAGAAATAAAAAATACCTGTTCAATATTTTTAAAGAACATAATAAAAGTTACTCCCCCCCATCCTCTCGGGGTAGGGTGGGTGATAACGTTCAAATCTCAAATGGGGACCCACATTTTTCATTGCAGAATTAGATTGTACGTGAAATTTTTATTGAAACAATTTTTTTCATTCGTGATAGATAGCGTTGAATCTTTCCGAGAAACTACTTTTAGCGTTACACAGGAACAACGACGAGGACGTAGTAGTTTTATGTTCCCTTTGGGTGCTTTTTTAATTTGAGTCCCCTTGCCTCTCACAGATCGGGGTGCTTTTTTAATGTGAGTCCCCTTGCCTCTCACTGTTCAATTAATTAGAGTAAGTGTTCGAATTTTTTACCTTCAACTTCAATACACTTATTGATCCTTTTTTCAAATGACTGTACACAGGATAGAAGCATATCTGCGGGAGTTTCAGCGCAAGCGTTTCTTATGCGTTCTACTGTGTTTTCACGAGTTTTTGGCACTTGTTGATAAACCTTATCTTTTAGGTAACCCCACAGAAAGAAATCCGGCGATGTCAAATCAGGCGACCTAGCAGGCCAATTAATCGGGCCACCTCTGCCATTCCACCGACCATTGTAATCACGGTCTAATACTTCCCGTGATCATTTCTGGAGAATTGCGGAAAATATAATTTTTTGCAATTACAGCGCCATTTATCACGAATAAAAAAAAAAGTTTCGGACAAAATTTACGTATTTTGTGGCGTAAAATCCGTATCTGCAATAAAAAATGGGGGTTTCCATTTAAGATTTCAAAGTTGCCCCCAACCCTCACCCCCAGGGGGTGGGGTGGGAGGTCGAGTTTGGTATCATTGGATGTCCCCCTTCGAGACTAACAACTTTCATTAACCACTTTTTTTTATCCAATGCATAGTTCTCGAGATATTTCAATGTCTTCAGATAAATCGTGCACCCTGTATTATATATACAGGGTGTTTGATAGCTGATCATGCAGACGAAAGTTGGAAATAGATTGGGTGTAGCCGAGAAGAAAAGTTATGTACCATAATGTCAAATTGGCAATAGTTATCGAGTTATTAATTAAAACATGTGAACTAACGAGCGCGTAGAGAGCGGAGGGCGATCGCAGTAAGCATGTAGACATTTGATACAGGCGGAGTCAGCGAGTGGCGATAGGCAAGCGCGTGCGGCGAGGGGCAACGTAAGCGACAAGAGGCGATCGCGCGCGACGAGGAGCGAGCGAGCGCGAACGACGAGGAGCGAGCGAGCGCAAGCGACAAGAGGCGAGCGAGCGAGCGCGAACGACGAGGAGCGAGCGAGCTATAATGAAAAAGCTATAAAGAAAAAGCTCGCTCGCTCCTCGTCGCGCGCGATCGCTTCTTGTCGCTTACGTTGCCCCTCGCGCGCGCTTGCCTACCGCCACTCACTGACTCCGCCTGTATCAAATGTCTACGTGCTTACTGCGGCCGCCCTCTGCTCTCTACGCGCTCGTTGGCTCACATGTTTTAATTAATAACTCGATAACTATTGCCAATTTGACATTATGGTACATGACTTTTCTTCTCGGCTACACCCAATCTATTTACAACTTTCGTCTGCATGATCAGCTATCAGACACCCTGTATATATATATATATATATATCAGGTGTAGTAAAAAGAAATCCATTATTTTTCCAATAGATGGCTTTAGTTATCTGTATCTCGCGTTGTATAAGTCCGATTGGGTTCCACTAGATGGCGTTAGAAAGATGAGATTTCGTACTAAAAAAACTTTTGTGACAGTTTTGTGATTAGTCGGCTGAGTTTTGTTTGAGCGCGCGTCAAAGATGGACACTATCAAAGAGAAAATACGCTATATTTTACAGTTTTTCTTCGATAAAGTCGAAAATGCAAGCCAGGCGGCTGAAAATGTGAATAGTGTTTATGGTCCTGATACTGTAACAGCCAATCACGCGCAATTTTGGTTTCGTCGATTCCGTTCCGGTAATTTCGATGTCAAAGATGCACCACGCACTGGAAGGCCAATTGTCGAAAATATCGATAAAATTATGGACATTGTCGAATCGAGATAATATAATTATCTTTATCTTTATTTTTTATAACGTTCTTTTGGAATTTGTTTTTAGAATTAGTCCTTTACGGGATTTTCTATATGGAACGGTTAATTATATATCCGAGAACTATTATCTTCGTCTTTATTTCTTTGTAATATTAAAAACAATTTTTTAAAAATCAATTTTTTTTCAACGGATTTTTTTTTGCGAAACAAATGGGCGCTTGGACGCGTGTACTTGGCGCCTTTTTTTACTTTTTTTTTTTAAAGTAATTTTGGTTAGATTTCACATCTGTTTTTTTACAAATATATATGTATATGTATGCATATATTTACGTTTATATGTAGATATATTTATTTATTATTATTATTATTAGGAGTACAAATAAGTTTCCGCCGTTTTCTATAAAAAATTAGGAATTTATTGTGAAAGAACGGTACATTACCGATACATAAGAGTTTTATTCAAAATATTGTCCATCACTAGCCACTACTTTTTCCCATCTTTCTGGCAGCATTCGGATACCACGTCGGCAGAACTCTTCATCTTTTGAGACTATCCACGAATCGATCCAATTTTTAGTATCCTCATATGATGTAAAGCGCTGCTTAGACAGGCCATGTGCCATCGACCGGAATAAGTGATAATCGGAAGGGACAATGTCTGGTGAATACGGCAGGTAGGATAGGACTTCCCAATTAAGTGTTTCCAAATAGGTTTTGACCGGTTTTGCAACATGTGGCCGAGCGTTGTTATGTAGGAGAATAATTTTGTCGTGTCTGGAGTAGTAATGGGCACGTTTTTCCTTGAGTGCTCGGCTCAATCTCATTAATTGTGTTCGGTAGAGAGCTCCTGTAATGGTTTCGCTCGGTTTGAGCAACTCATAATACACGACACCAAGCTGATCCCACCAAATACACAGCATGAGTTTTTGTCCATGAATATTCAGTTTGGCTGTCGATGTTGAAGCATGGCCAGGTAGTCCCTATGATATTCTCTTCTTTGGGTTATCGTAGTGGATTCATTTTTCACCACCAGTGACTATACGATGCAAAAAACCCTTTCTTTTATGCCTGGCAAGCAGCATTTCACACGTGCAAAATCGGCGTTCAACGTCTCTCGGCTTCAGTTCATATGGAACCCAATTTCCTTGTTTTTCAATCATTCCCAACGATTTTAAACGATGTGAAATTGCTTGTTGAGTCACTTCTAATGTAAGTGCAAGTTCTTCTTGCGTTTGACACGAATCTTCCTCCAATAATGCTTCCAATTCCGTGTCTTCGTACACTTTCGGCCTTCCACTACGTTCTTTGTCTTCCACATCAAACTCACCGTTTTTAAACTTTTGAAACCACTCACAACAACTTCTCTCACTTAAAGCAGTCTCATCATATGCTTCTACAAGCAATCGATGCGCCTCAGCTGCAGATTTCTTCAAATTAAAGAAGTAAATCAAAAGTTCCTGCAAATGACGTTTATTCGGCACAAAACTTGACATTTTCGCACGAAAAAAATTATGTGATGCTGATACGGAGTCACTAATACTTCAAGGTTATGTTATTACTAGATGTCCAAACTTACGATATTACGTTTTACATCTGACAATTTCAACATAACCTTCTGGTGGGGCCATCTTTTGTCAAACGGCGGAAACTTATTTGTACTCCTAATATTATTACTATTATTATTAAAGAGAAGAGGTCCCATCACCACCCCCGTCGTATTTTTTGGCATATATTATCTGATGGTCCTCTTTACTTATGTTGTTATAAAACATATTATTATCTATATATTTTATTATTTGTATATATAGGGTGCGTACGGTATTTGAGGACACTTATATATGTGAATGTAATTTCTGGAGAACAATTTTGTTTGTTTTTTTTCTTGTCAGATCATCAATGGAGGACTATAAAATAACGCAAGAAATGAAGAGATATGCAGTTATCGTCGTTATATGCGCGAAACACACCGATTTAGAAATCTCGAATTTTCTCAATTGCGCCCGACCATTCGTACATAAGGTTCGTCGTGAATTGGAAACATCAGCTGGCGATGTAGAAACTGTTGCAAAACGCAAAAAACATGAGGAACGTTCGGATACTACTAGAAATACAGAATTTGTCCAACAAGTGCAAGAGATCGTTGATGAAAGCCCTTCAAAGTCCATGAGGGCCTTTGCGAGGGACCTGAATGTCTCTGAAAGCCTAATCTGTCGAGTTGTCCACGAAGACCTCCGCTATACGTCCTACGTTATGCGCAGAGGACAGTTAATGTCGGCACAAACTCGGGAATAGACTTATCCGAGGAAAATGTCTTTTGAACAAGCTTAAGCACTCTGAAGTTCCTAACATGTTGTGGTTTTTTTCTGACGAAAAGAATTTCGACCAAGACCAAAAAATCAATTGGAGAAATGACAGGTGGTTATACTC